TGTTTATGCTTCAAAAATGTAGTTGGGCGTCGTGAAACTAATCTGAAGATAAAGGGGTAGATCGAGAAACTAGATTCGATTGATCAAAAGAAAGATGAGTTTCGTTTTCCTCCAAGTGGTGGCCATGATTTGCAGGAATTTAAGCGAATTGAATCGACTTCTTTTGTTGATTCTGTAAGTGTACATGGTCGAAGTATTGATAAGGAAAACCTTATGCGAAATTTGTTGTCAGAGGGGGACAGTGGAGTCGAGATTGTTTCGATAGTAGGGACGGGAGGGGTTGGGAAAACAACTCTTGCTCAAATAGCCTTTAACGATCCTGAAGTTGAAAAACATTTTGAATTAAAAATATGGATTTGTGTTTCGGATCCTTTTGACGAGATTAAGATTGCAAAATCAGTTCTTGATGCCGTTGGGGAGAGTTCCTCCAACATCTGGAATTTGCAAATGTTCTTACAACGTGTGAAAAACTCAGTTTCAAAGAAAATATTTCTTATTGTCCTAGATGATGTGTGGACTGAGGACCGCAGGAAGTGGGAACCCCTGAAAAACTCTCTCCAGGGTGCCCCCGGAAGTAGAATTTTGGTGACAACAAGGAGCGAACGGGGTTGCAAGAGCGATAAGCACGGACACACGGCAACCATTGGGCCAACTATCCCATGATGACTGCTGGTCATTATTGAGTAAGATAGCTTTTGGTAGAAAAAGTGAGGAGGAGCGCGAGAAACTAAAAGATATTGGTAAAAAGATTGCGCTGAAATGCAAGGGGTTGCCACTTGCTGCAAAAACTATGGGAAGCATGCTATGCTTCAAAGATACTGTAGAAGAGTGGCGAAATGTTCTAGAGACTAGAGAGTCCTTTGTGGCAGTTGGAGGAAGTGACGGTTGAGCTTTTCCCCCATTTGTATTTGAGTTGCAATGATTTCGAATTATGCTTCCCTATAAAACCCAATTTCTTTGTTCTTTTTTCTTTGCTTCCAACTGCCACCACTTCACCCTCTTCTCTTCCGAAAATAAATAAATTTCAATCCTTAGTACGGTTTAATATTTTCAAAAATTGTTGAATTTTGGGTGTTGTTTTCAAAATGTTACATAAAATTTTCTCCTTGAACTCTTTTCATTATTTTGCCTTTGTCTAGATGCAAAGTGAATCATTCATCTTCAACCAAGTCTGTCTACAAATGTGCATTTATTTTTGATCACGTGTACTAACATTTTAGATTTTTATGTTGAATTGTAGGATGAGATTGCTGTCGCAATGAAGTGATCGAAGCGGATGGATATGAAAATGGGCAGAATAGTGTTGAAAAACTATTTCGTAGGAGTTGTAGTTATTGAATGAGATTGTGATATCTTTGTGTTGATGTGTTGGTCATAAAGTTTGTGAGTTTTAATACATTACATATTTCAATGGTTGGTTTGAAATTTGGTATTGATTGTTAGATGACTTTAATGTGTTGGTGGGTAGGAAATTTGGTTTTGATATAGATTTTGAAATTTGAACAAGACATGAAATTTGCACAGGTTAAAAACAAAATGACAATGTACCATCCAAGTACTCCACGTAACAAAATGACACTTGACCGTTTAAATAGCACTTACACATTTTGAATAAATTTAATTTCGACTTGATTATATTCCTATTTCTATCAAAAAAAAACCAACTTTCATCATCTTTAGGGATTCGTTTGGCAATGTTCTGCTTCTTGTAGAAATGTTTCATAAGAAAACTTTAAAAATTTAGATAAAGTAATTTTTAGAATATTATTCAAACATGTTCAAAAGTAGCATGTTAGACTCATAAACAACTTTTGACGTTCAATGTGAAATGGGAGCTACACATCTTGGGTAGGTCAAATAACTAACTTATAATATATTATTTTAATCAAAACTTAACAAATATAATATCAATTTCTATTCAAACAACTTATACAATATTTTTAAAATATTAATGTCTTAATTCATAATATATGACTTTTAGCATATGACAAAAATTAAATATTTCAGTGGTTCATTTAAAACTTTAATTTTATTTCCTACAATTTTAATTATAATTCTAAAATATTCGTGTATAAACATCGATACTTCGATTGAACAAGTGATCCATTAACTTAGCCTTGTCAATGTCTAGTTTGGATAAACTTTGAGTGCTATTATGTTAGTGTTACAAGATTTTATTTGATTGGAAATCAACTTAATGTCGATATTGTCCATTTTTTTCAATTGAAAAAATTAAGGGAAAATTAGGCTGATTGCCCTAAAAAAAATATCATATTTGATTAAGGGAAAAATTCATTTATCCTA